GTGTCTAGGAACCCATTTTTGCGTGGCACTTGAAAAAAAAAAAGTCATTTTTTTGACCCACCCTAATATATATATATTACTAATACTATATACTATATACTATATATAGTATTACTGTATATAGTATTATATACATATATATAGTATTATAGTATATATAATATTATATATAGTACTAATAATAGTAATATTGTATATATATATATATAGTATTACTATTACATACTAATATTATTTATTATTTTAATTACCATTTATTCAATTTTCGTTACTTAAACACCGTATATATCCGGCACCAATCTAACTATATTTAACTTCTATTTTATATAAATATAATTTAATATTAAAAATAACAAAACTACATTCTGTGTAATAAATTATTGTTTCATATAACACAAATTTTGATATTTAACCATATTTTGAGATAAAAAAACAACAAAGAAATCTTCATGTACAAAGTGACAACAGTACATTCGTAACTCCATGAACAAGGGTTTCAAAGTACGCGTGGGTAGATACTACAACTTTGTCGACAACATAAGAAAAAATTAGTAAAAAAAAAACTTACTTTACGATTACGTTTATGCATCTTTCTAGTAACTAGTTGTTGTCATCGTCATCATCAACGTCATCGTCATCGTTGTCGTTGTAACTTAAGTGTAGAAAAGACTAACATAAAATAGAAAGAAAGTGAGAGGATATTTTTAGCAAATTAATTTCACGTGAACAATTTATCGTGAAATCTCATATGACCCGGTATACAAAATAGAAAAATAGAAAAAGAAAGAAAAATAGAAAAAGAAAAAAAATAGAAAGAGATAGATTAGAAAAGCTGTTAAAGCACGTACATAAGTCGAAGGGACAATTTCCCCGTTCTCGAAGAAGAAGAGGAGGAAGAAAAATAAGAATAAGAAGAAGATGGGCTTATGTCCAGTCTCTCAGTCCCTTTCTTGGTAATTAGACCCTCGATAGATGCCAAGCCAGAGGCATACTTTACGATCTTGCCTTTAGATCGAAGTACCTTCGATGTCTGGAATGTCGACCAAGCCATTTGCGAAACCCTCTTCTTCATTCGTTCACCAACTATGAAAGTATATGTCTATATATGAAAGTGTGTATGTATTTGTGTGTGTGTGTGTGTGTATGTGAGAAAGAGAAAGATAGAATACCTTTTTGCATCTTTGATGATAAAATAATAATAGTCCTCGTTGAATCATGAAAGATTGACAAATAAGTGACGGAATATATTTCAAAAGGTTTTATTAATTTCCAAAATCATATTTTTCTCTTTTATATCGATTTTTAAATTAATTGTTGTACATTTAATGTGATTTATTCTAATTATTTATTCATTTCAATAAGTATTTATATACGTATAATTATATTGTTTATAAAAAAAGTAGAATTAAAGGAAAAAAGGGATTAGGGGTTAGAGAGAAGATTGTTGATTGTTTTTTTAGGTTATAGTTTACTTGGTTATTATTATCATTGTAATAGTATTTTTTGGTTATTTATTATTATTTTGGCTTCTATTTGGTTATCGTTTTTTTTTTATTATTAATATTTGGCTACTATAACTGATAGTAGTTATTAAATTTTTATAATTAGTTAAAAATATAGTAAAGTATTTAGTTAAAGTAGTTAGTTAAGTATAATAAATAATATTAAATTAAAAGTATAATAATTACTAAATAATTAAATATTGGTTATTTATTATTATATTTAGTTTTTATTTGGTTATCATTTTTTTTATTAACAATATTTGGTTACTATTATTGATAGTAGTTATTAAATTTTAATAATTAAATTTAAAATTAAATGTATAGTAAAAATATTAAATTAAAGTATGGTAAAAATATTTTAGTAAATGTTATAGTAAATATTATATAAAAATAAAAAATAAATAAATATAAAAAATATTATAGTAAATATTATAGTAAAAAAAGTATAGTAAAAATATTAAATCAAAAGTATAGTAAAATAATTAATTAGTAAAATAAATTAATAATTAGTTAAAGTAGTTATTAGTTTAGTATAGTAAATAATATTTAGTTAAAAGTATAATAATTATTTAATTATTACAAAAATTTTAGTTATGTAAATATTAAAATTAAACTCTTAACTTAAATTAAACTAAATTTAGGTTATGCAAATTAAACTACTTTGAAGTATTATTTCGATAAATATAATTAATAATTGCCAAATATAAAATTCATAATATTCTTAAGTTGATTTAACATTATTATTATTATTATTTATCAATTAAATTCTCTTTTATATTTTGTTATCGTAAATCTTATATTATCAATTACACTGGGGATCAACGTTTAAAAAAGAAGAAAACTAAATTAGTTTCGTCCTTTCATTCCAATATTGATTCATAAAATTAATTAATACATCACTTCTGTTCTCTCGTTTCACTTTATATACTACATTTAATTTCTATACAAACTCGTTTGAATATATTTTTTTTCTATATATGTACATGCATGTGTACATACATATGTGTGTATTAGTCTAAATCTTGTAACTTCATTTATTCTTGTAGCATTGAAAAAAAAATCTAAATTAACACCAAAAAAAAAATACGAATATCAATTAAAAAATAAAAAAAGTAAAATGGAACAGTAAAAGGGAGGAAATTTAAAGTTTCCCATATACATCCCATGTACACCGAGTGTTACGTAAGGACGTAAGGATTCGATAATTAGGCTTCTTTTTGTAAATGGTTTTTAGAACGGAAGAAAAAATATTAAAAAAAAAAAGATATCCCTAACCATATGTTTTACGAGCTTCCCTTTTCATCGAATTACTTTGCTTGAGGCCAGCGATACTTGCTTTTTTAAAATGAAAAAGGAAAAAACCAAAAAAAAAAAAAAATAAAAAAATAAGAAAAGAGAGTAAAAGATAGTAAGGAAGGAAGGAAGGAAGGAAGGTAGTACTTCAACATTGGCTCAATATAGTTCAATACTAATACTACCATCCTATAATATATATATATATATATATATATATATATATATATATGTGTATACAAGATCAGGATGACGTTTCGTGCCAAGGTATAGCAATGTAATTAAATCCCTGCGTGATCGGTGTGCAAGTTAAAAGAAAAGAAAAAAAAAATAGAAAACAGGGTTGCTAGGTTGTTGGTGTTTGGTGTATGTTTTGCTCGTTTGCTTCAATGAGTTCTTCTTGTTGCTTGAATGAATCCTGTTGGTTAGTTGGTTGGTTGGTTGGTTGGTTAGTTGGTTGGTTGCGAGTGCTAAGAAATTTTTTTTTTAACTGTTGTAATAAAACAAACAACATGTTGAATAATTCACGCTTCGAGTTTTCAGATAATACATCAATGAAAATATATGCATCATGATTTATTAACTCTCTCAGAGGATTATTTTCGTTTCGTTTTTTTTTTGTTTTGTTGATCTAACTGGTATATTAAAATTATTTTTTATTTTTATAAAACGATTATGATATAATTATAAAATTACGTGTTAGTAGGTAAATGATAAAGTTATTATTTAAATATCATCTAATTTTTCTAATGTGTGAATTATTTTGATTTAATTTATTAAACTCATTTTAACTTTTCTTATAATAATATTGATTTATATATTATTACAAATTTATTATTAATATTTATACAAATATATATATATATATATATATATACTGTTATATATAGATTTGTAATATATCATTATATTTATACTATACTCTATTTATAGTATATATAGTTATATTATACTATAAATAGTTATATAATTCTAGTTACAGTTATATAACTATAGCTATAAATATAATATTATATAAATATATAATAATGATAATATTAAAAAAATTTATATTTCTTAGCAATGTAACATTTTTTATACTAACATTATTTTTAACAGTATTAATAGTATATAAATAAATTTATTTTATTTTATAAATATATTATTATATATTATATTTATATTTATATAATAATAATAATAATAATAAAAAAAATTAATATATTTCTTAGCAATGTGATATTTACTAACATTATCGATCGATAAGAATAATATCATTTCATAATTTTTCTTCATTCGAAATAATCCAATTTGCAAATCCATCCATTGCTATCATGTAAATGCATCTGACGTGTCAAGTTGCACCAAATTGGATCGTTCAAATTGATTATTTTGACGAATGTAAACTTGTTTCGAAACTTTATCAAACCAATCATACTGTGTCGTCTTTTAATCTAGTTTTCTATCTCTATCTCACTCTCTCTCACACAAACACACATACGTAATACACACATACGTAATACACACATACGTATACACACATATACTTTTCTTCGTTCGATTTTTTTGTTGAATATAGTTCATTTAAAATTCCTTCTAACAGTTACGAAGCGAAATACGTATTTAACTCGTTACGGTCGTTTAGAGACTTGCTGAACTTCATTAGTCACTGTCATCCGGTGGTCATGCTAAGTTCACGACGAAAGATACTATAAAATATGCTAACCATAAGGGATACTTACATATACACGTGCATAAAACACTTACACACGCATTATTTCTCGTGTTTTACTTTTGCACGCTTTTTAAACCTTTTAAATATACCTAGTACAAGAAATGATTATGATTTTTTAAACACATTTCTCTTTGTATACTTGGAACACCCTTATTTTTATTTAAAAAAAAAAAAAAAAAAATAGTAAAGAAATAATTAAATTTTCGGAATAATTTTTTTGATTAAATACTTCAATATTTTTATATATTTTATTTTATTTTATTATATAATATTTATATTATTATATTTTATTTATGATTATTTGTATATAATGTGGAAATTATTTTTATTGTAATTATAATATAAGAATATAAAGTTAATACAAATTTAAAACAAATTTCATTTTATCAAATAAATATTTGAAAAATAATAAATTTAAAAATATCATTTGAAAAATATTAAATGAAAAAATAATAAAATAATAATAAATATTTTTCCATATATCAAGTCTAATTAAATTCGACAAATATTTCACATTAAACAATTTAACTAATAATCATAATTACATCGAATAAAATAAACAAAATTTGATTGACAGTCATTGCTGATTCCAAGTCCATTATTCGTGTCATAATTTTACATTATTTTTTTTTTCTTTTTTAAACTTTTTATTAGTACATAAATACGTACAGTACATACGTACATACATATATACATACATACACGTGTAAAAGTGTTATGATCGTATATAGAATGATGATCTGGGCGTTGCCAAGGTTTTATGCATGACTTTAAAGTACGGAACATTAAACATTTAAAGATATTCAAATTAGCAATAAAATTTGTGATGCGTAACTGAGCATGAAATGAATGCTGAACCATTTCAAAGGGTTGTTCGGTTAACATATTTAAACATACATATACACATATATGATACAAATGCGTAGAAGGTTATTGAACACGAAAAATAATTTTTTTTAATTTTTTTTTTAAGAACTTTTCATAGGGTCGTTAATTTCCCATAAAAAAAATCAAAATTTCGATTAGGTTAACATTTAAACTAATTTGTTAAACATTACTAAATTTTTGTTCCTTCAAGTTTTATTGGAGCCAACCCCCTCCCCCACTCAGTCCCCACTCTATTCGTTTTTTCAAATATTTACTTTCAAAGATATAAAATGATTTTAAGGTTAGGGTATATTTTAAAATCTGAAGGAATCATCCTTACCGACATCTAGTTTTCCCCATCCCCTTCGTCCCTGTCTTTTTTTATTTTTCTTAAGGGTTGTTTTAGCTTTCGTTTTCTTTTTTCTTTATTGCTATGACTTTGGTGGACGCCAAAGGAAAGAAAAGGGTGGCCATTGTCTTTAGAAAACAATGGCGCCGTGTATCATTGTGGTTTCCCTTTTATAAGTGTATCCTTCTCTCTCTCTTGCTTTCTTTCTTTCTTTCTCTTGACACGCCTTTTTTTCTCTTCTTTTAACATAAGAGTGAGTGAGACAGAAAATAAATAGAAAGAAAGGGAGGAAAGTTTAATTTAAAAAACATAAAAAAAAATAAAACTCTAATCAAATGAGTAGACTTTCATGCATTCAACTATGTTTCTATGTTATATATATGTGTGTGTGGGAGATGAGGGGTAGTTTAGAGGGGATGTAAGAGTAGTATTCTTTGTGCAATCAATGAGAATTATTTTCAACAGTCGTGATAATTGTAATTAACAGATTTTGTATTTTTTAATATTTCTTTTTATAACAAACGAATAGTAATTAAAATTGACGTTCATTTGATATGATTGTGTATGTATTGTGTGTGCTTATGCATACGTGTCATGTGTCTATATAGAGTGTGTTAAAAATAATTTCTATAGGAATTATTATATAACATTCATCGAGCTGACGATTAATGTTCTTTTTTCATTCTGTATAATGTAAAATTTACATGACTGTTTTCTTTGTATTTTTTTTTTTTTTTTTCCATATAATTATAAGAATTATATATGAGTATAATTTTTATATACTTGAATAGAATTAATATGTATTTTTTTTTGTTTTGTTTTTTTTTTGCTATTCTTATTTTAATGTACTTGATTGATTAATTAGTATTTCGTTATTTTATTTTGTTTTTTAAAGATGTGTATTTGTATTCAGGTGCATGAGTGGAATGGCAGAAAAGTTACGTGAAGCTTGCGTACGCGGCGAGGCCGAACGTGTTGCACGTTTTCTCGCTGATGGAATCAAACCATTGCCAGATGAGGTGAGTTTATACGATTTATTTTTTTTTTTTGAAATTAAATTAATGCAATTAAACAATTTTACAATATTATATACTCAATTTATAGTCTCAAAAAATAAGGTTTTTTAATAAAAAAACATTTAAAATTTTGAAAATTGAAAAATTTTTTTTCAATCAAATAAAAAAAATAAAAAACTAACTCGGCCCATTCTGGGACTGGCGGGGATAATCGCAGAATTGGTCAAAGTTTTTTTTTAGAAAATAAAAAAAAATGAAAAATAACGAACTTCGAGAAAATAACGGTTTTTCTCAAAAAATGCGAAAATTTCATGGATTTAATAATTTAAAAAATTTTTTTGTATTTTTTCTGAAAAGTACATTTAATAACAAAAATTTAGAAAAGACAACGTCCCAATACGTTGAATTTTGAAGAAGTTATAGCCATTTAAAAAAGAAATAGCCATTTTTTTCAAAAATTAATAATTTTTCTTGGGTTTGGTAAAAAAATTTGAAAAAATTTTGAGAACTGTTTTTCATAGGGCAGAATAGGATGAAAAACTTTTAGCCATATCAAAAGGGGTCAGGGTCAAAAGGTCCACGATTTGACGTGGAATGCCCTATATTATAAAATAAATGTAATTTAAACTACAAAAAATTATAAGCTAAGCATTGAAATAAAATAATTAAAATATTATATAATAGAAAATCATTCTTAATAATTAATAAAATCTAAATAAAATAAACAAAAGTTAAAATCTTCTATTATTATGTAAAATGAATTATGTGACATGAAACATTATGCAATTCATTAGAAAGATGGTACTTTTACATAAGAAACTTAAAGTACGTATGCATCACCATAAGGATGACTTTTATATCATCGAAACATGTGTCGGCTTAAGATCAAAGCTTTCAAATACCATGACAAGCTTATATTCTACAGACATTTAAATCGATATTCACGTACGGAAAATCGAATCTTCATTTTTTTTTTATTATTATTTAATCTAATCCTTTAATTAATGTTCATATTATTTTATTATAATTATTAATCGTATTTATATCTTTAAATATGTATTTATTAAACACTATTATGATACATTTTATTATATTTTATATTTTTATTATATTATATTATATTTTTTTATATTCTAGAAGTGTATTTGTCAACAAATATTTGTTTAACTTTATAGTAATTGGCTATTATTTTTTTTTTACATTTTTTTAAATCAATCTATAATCGTTTATATCTTATATTACAACAAGTTAAATTTATAATTGATATATTATATATATATAAAAAAAAATAAGTTCTAAATAAAAATAGAATTTGAATAAAATTTAAGAAAAAATAAATAAATAAAATTTAAATCAAACGAATATCATTCAACTCAATATACAATAAGAATAATTAATAATAATTAAAAAAAATTTGATAATTATACAAATTTGAAATAATTATTGTCTCGATGTGTCAAACATAAAAAAAAAAAACAAAAAAGAAAAAAAAGAGAAATTATATAAAATTATTTAATTTAAAAAAAAGAGAAACAAAAAAAACCCTGTAATCTCGTTTATTTTCTTATCCAATTAAATGTGATTTTTGGATCAAGGCCATTGACACTAGTAACGGGTTCTTAAAACATGAGTGTACGTGTAATAAATACGTCGAAGGGCAAAATGAAGGAGAAGGGCTTAAAGTTATATATATATATATATATATATATATATGTTGTAGAACGTTGTCGGTTAACTCGTGTTACCCGATTCCGTGTTCGGCTAATTAAGGATTGCATCCTGTCCGATCTTGGGAAATTTGTGCGAGCATACAAACTTAAATATCGATAGCTATTAATTACAACGCTAATTGATCCGTCCATGAGATTAATATAACGCATTAGTTTCACTTAAAAAAAAAAAAAAAATAAAACAGAAAGAAAATAGAAATCAAAAGAAAAATAGAATTTTTCAGACTCAAATTAATACTTTTAACAATGTAATGGGTACAAATTGTTGTTCCAATTAAAATTAATTATTTTTCTAATCATTAGAATAATTTCAATGGTTTTTTATTTATTTATTTTTTTTATACAGGTTTTGCTTCTAACAGAATTTTGAAAAATAGCTACTTAATAGGTAATCGAAGTTAGGTTTGACAAGAAGAAAAATAGATAGAATATTAGTAACAAATGTGATTAATAAAATATTTTTATAACATTCAGATATTTATACGAAAATCGTTTAATATAAAATATAATAATAATGGGTGTGTGTGTGTGTGTGTGTGTGTGTTTGTGTGTGTGTGTGTGTGTGTGTGTGTGTGTGTGTGTGTGTGTAGTTTAAATAATCGATAAAAATAAAAATTCTAATAATACAATTATAAAGTATTAAAGTAATATAGTTATTAGAGAATTATTATATATAAAACATACTCTCTATAAATATTATAAAATTAATATATTAAATATTATAATTATTATAATTTATAAATATATTATAAATTATATATAGGGTGATCTGTAGTTGGTGGTATAGGCAGAAAGGGGGTGACTGTTCATGAAAAATTAAATCGAAAATATAGAATAAATATTTTTCGTTTGAGGCTTTGTTTTCGAGAAAATCGACTTTAAAGTTTCGCAAAGTACGCGTGCAGTTGATCATGTCTCATTATAACGGACCTACGAACTTTTCAGAAATACCCTACGAATTTTTTGGAAATGCCCTATGAACTTTTTAGAAATATCCACCCTACGAACTTTTCAGAATTAACCTATATATATATATATATATATAGGTTATTCTTATATGAAAATTTCGTAGGTCCGTTATAAGGAGACAAGATCAAGTGAACGCGTATTTTTCGAAAATTCAAAGTCGATTTTCTCGAAAACAAAGTCTCAAACGAAAAATTTTTATTCTATATTTTCGATTTATTTTTTCATTTAGAATCACCACCTTTTCGCTTATACCACCAGTTATAGATCATCCTGTATATTCTATAGAAAATTTAAATATAGAAAATTCTTCTATTGGTTTTTTTGTTTACACGACTTTTAGAACGTTGAGCATATGTATAACGTGAATAATATTCGTAATAAATAGAATTTCCTTATATGGAAAGTCATATAAACAACATTGAATAAAAGAACCTTTACAGGGGACAACGTTCTAGTGTGAAGGTGAATTTTGAAGAGGGCGGTATTCCGAACGTATAATTCGTGCTTTTAAATAACAATACACGTTTCCTTCGATAGTTTAACAATCATTCAAGGTATAGCACGCTTTCACTCATCATTTTCTTCATACATACATACACACACACGTATACATCCATACACACACACGTATACATCCATACACACACGTACACATACATACATACACACATATACATACATCTAGTTTTAATCCTTTGTCATACTTTGACGAGTCTGATTAGTGATAACAATTTTAAATATTGCGAATTATACTCACGATAATAAATATATGTTAAACATTCATGAATTTCAACGAACAGATTGTAAATGGGGGAGGAGTAAGAAGGTGGTTTAAAAAATATAGAAAAATTTCTATAAGTTCACTTTTAAATACTTTTTTCTATAGATTTTATTCAGTTTTTTGTTTGTTTTTTGTTTAATAAGAATGGAAGAAGTCCTTTGCTATTGGCTGCAGCACTCGGACATACCGACGTTTGCAATGCCCTTCTACTTCGTGAAGCTGAAGTTAATGTTGCTGATTCGGTAAGTGTTATATTATAATATAATATAACATTAAAAATATATAATCAATTTTTTACGGTATTACGAAGATTTTTTCTGGATCATCAATCGTTGTTTTATCGAAATTTGAAGATCTTGAAAGTATACGTCGATACTTTTAAATGTACAAAAAAAAATTAGAAATATAATTTAGAACAAAAAAAAAATTAAAAAACAAAATTAGGAAAATAATTTAGAACAAAACAAAATTAAAAAATAAAATTAGAATAAAACCAAATTAGAAAAAATTATTTAGAACTAAACAAAATTAAAAAATAAAATTAGAAAAATAATTTAGAAAAAATGAAAATTAAAAAAATTATTTAGAACAAAACAAAATTAAAAAATAAAATTAGAAAAATAATTTAGAAATATAATGAATAGGAAGTTAAATTTTTTTATTAGTTTTTCCTTTAAATTATTCTACACCCGTATCGATCGGGTTTCACGATCAACGATAAATTATTAGTTTTTTTTTGAAGAGAGGAAAAAGGGTATAGAAGGATGGAAGTAAAGGGGGAAAAGTTGTGTTGACGAGAGGTTGATCGTGAAAAATATACGTGGCCTGTAGATTAAGAAATTAATTGCTATAGACGAGACATCGTTTAATATACCAACGAACTACCTGATTGGCTTATTTTATCCTTTGATATATAGGATACCTATTTTAATATATACAATAAATATTAAACCTATTTTTTTTTTCGTTTTTACTTTTTTATAGAAAATTAATATCAAACTAAGTACTTGAAAAATATTACACATAAACCAATAATCAATTGTTTTTTTTCTGTTATTGGTATAAATAAATACGATTGATTTTATATTTTATAAAAATATATCTATTGAATATTTAATTATTATTTTTACTATTTTTTTTTTATTATATATAGTTATTATTTTCACAATATTAGGTGGTCCCAAAAATTTCTTCCTTTTTTTGATGATAAGTTGAACAATATTGTAAATATATTTTTTTTTATTTGTATTTTACGTTATTTTATTTAAAAATATCGATTATACTTTATTTTACCTTTTACTATACTTTAAATTATTTAACATGAAAAATATTATGTGCCTATAGAATTACTAAAAAGAAAGAAACTTATGGGTCAACCTAATATATTATTTATTTTATTTTTAAAAAAGTAACATTTAATGATAATTATTTACATAGTTACGATTTTGAAATTACAATTTTATATGTTTTGTATTATTTTTATTATTAAAAAACAAAAGTTATATTACTTACTATAGAAAGTTTGAGAATAATATTAGGTTTGTATTGATTTAAATTATATTTTAATTTATATCTATACAATTTTATACATTCATAAAACAAAAAAATAAGAAGAAGAAGAAGAGGGAAAAGATTACTATGTGACAAAATGTAACATGACTAACAATTAAAATAAATATTAGATATTTTATTATTATTATTTTGTAAAGTAAGCGTAGTGTAACGCAATATACAATGTTTTGTTTATTTTTTTTCTTATTTACTAGTAGTAATTATCTTTGATACACTATAATGATTTGTTGTTTCAATGTATATGTAAACGAAAGAGTTCAAGAAAAAGATAAAGAGAGAAAGAGAGAAAGAGAGAGAGAGAAAGAGAGAGAGTATATGAGAGAGTTGATATCAAAAGTGTGTTCACGAGAATGTGTTACTATAAATTCCCTAACGCAAAAAGCAAAATGGTGGTCCTGTATTAAAGTGAACGCAAAGCTAACATTTTTTTTCACTTCGTTAACGTTTTCCTCGTACCCGTAATTACACGATAATTACATCTTTCGGGTATTCATTACTCAGTATAATCGTATTGCTATATTACAGTACTGACACGTAGAACTGCCCACCGATGGGATATGACTTATCGACCAATTCCAACTAAAAGGACCGTCCACGCAACTCACATTTTTCTGTCCTTTTTTTATTTTTATTTTTTTTTTTCATTCTTTCTCTCTATCTCTCTCTCTCTCTCATTCTCTCATCGTTTTTCTCTTTCTCGTATTTTTTATCTAACATTTTTTAAATAGTAAGTCAATTTTATTTTACATCAAAATTTTATTTGTTAGTTTCTTTTTTTTCATTCTGTCTCTCGCTCTCTCTCTTTCTCTGTCTCTCTCATTCTCATTTTCATTCTGTCTCTCTCTCTTTCTCTGTCTCTCTCATTCTCATTTTCATTCTTTCGATTCAAGTAATTTTTTATTTAACATCTTTTTATATTAATCTAATACCACCTATAAGGTTTCAATAACATTTAATATTCAATTTTTATTATTTCTGAATGATTAATGAAAAACTATTATATTTCCCATAATAAAAAAAAAAAAATTAAAAAAATATTTGTCAAACTAGCCATAACTTAGACGATAGCATAAACGTTAACTAGTGATTTTATTTTAGCATAACCAAAAAAAAAATAAATAAATAAATAATAACACATTTGAGAGAAAAAAATTAGTGATATAAACGTGAAAAAGACAATGGTCTTGAAATGATTTCGAGAAAAGCAATCAGAATCACTTTTTTGCTTATCGATCGGTGCTATCTTTTCTTCTCCCCTTCCTCACCCCCTTACATCCGTTCTCCACCCCCTAAAGAAAAGAAGTCGAGGTTTTGCATCGAACTTACAATACTTCCATTGCTGTAACTGACTGACGTCCAATCTTCTTCTTCTACTTTTTCTTTTTTCTTTTCTTTTATTTATCTCTCTCTGTTTCTCTCTTTCGTAAGTGGTGCCACCCGCAGAAAACACGTTTGGTTAGATCTTGTCAGCGTGGGGTAAGAGAACCCAGGTTCTTCTTAACGTTGATACGAGCCTGCCTTTATTTAGAATTCCTTGTAACGCACCGCTGGTGGTCAACGATTGCTATACCCTTTTCTTGAGCCCTTACCCTTTTTTACATTTATTTTTATTCTTATTGTTAATTCTTCCTTTTCTCGCCTATTTAATTTATAACAATTTATTATCTATAAATAATTGTACAATGGCATAAATGTGATTATATTTATTTGTAATTTGTATTACTAATTTGCTTCATTAATTTTTATTAATTTTTCTTGTTCATTTATTTAATTTATGCCAATTTATTATACAATATTATAAATGTAATTATATATTTTATAATTTTGTATTAATAATTTGTATTATTAATTTTTATTTATTTTATTTTAATATCAATATATTGTGCTCATTAATTTTTATTAATTTTTCTTTTTCATTTATTTAATTTATGCCAATTTATTATATAATATTATAAGTGTAATTATATCTATTAGTAATTTGTATTATTAATTTGTTTAATGAATTTTTATTTATTTTATTTTAATATTAACATGTTGTTATGTTTTTTGTATTTATTAATTTTTATCTATTTATTTATTTAATTTATGCTACAATTATTTTACAATATTATAATAATGAATTTTTATTAATATTATTTTAACGTTTAAATATTGTACTCATTATTTTTATTAATTTTTCCTTTTCATCTATTTAATTTATCTCAATTTATTATATCATATTATGTTAATGAATTTTTTTTTTTTTTAATTTTATTTTTGAACGTCAGAATCTTTGACATATTTGTGTACTTATTAATCTTCCTTTTTCATTTTTTTTAAATTTATATTAAAATTAATATACAATACAATATAACAAGTATACTTATACCTTATTAATTCATATTATTAATTTGTCTAATTAATCTTATTTTATTATTAATTATATTTCAACGTCAAAATTCTTGACATATGATTGTACTTAATCTTTCTTTTTCATCCAATTCATCTATCCTAAAATTACTATACAATATTATTGTAGAAAAGCATACTTATATCTTATTAGTTCACATTATTAATTTGTCTAATAAATCTTTTTTTCTTTTATATTAATTTGGTTTCAATTTCAAAATATCTTGACATGTCATTGTACTTATTAATCTTTCTTTCTCACTTATATTAATTTATGCTAATATCTCATTTCCCATTATATTTCAAAAACATACTTATATCTTATTAATTCATATCAATTTGTCTAATCAAAATTTTGTTTAAATTATTTTTCGATATTCAAAAATTTTCTTGTCAATATTTTTAGAAATGAAATAAGGAATTAATATATATATAAAATTAAAAAATCACTGTAAATCAATTTTAATATTGCTCTAAACCAGGGGTCGGCAACCTACGGCTTGCGAGCCACACGCGTCTCTTTGAATGTGAAGCCGCGGCTCTTTGGTTAAAAGAGTTTAGTAAAAAAAAAATCGATTAACGAGGATTAGGCATCGATGAATAAATAGATTAGTTTTTTTTATTAGAAAATCAGAAAACTTCATTTATGCGAGTACTATTTATTGTTGGTAAGAAAAAATTTTGTGGCTCTTTAAAAACTTTGAAATTTTGTAAATTGTAATTTTTGGCTCTTCCGACTCAAAAGGTTGCCGACCCCTGCTCTAAACATTTGAAAATTTATTTCAATCATTATTTGATTTAATTTTAATAATGACATCATTTTTTCCCATTACTGTCAAATTTGACAGCAAAATAAAAAAGAAAATAATATATAAATTAAGATACCGGAAGTAAAATAATAATAATAGGATAATAACAGTGATTTTTGTTAAAGTATGAAAATAAAAGGTATCATTCGACGCGTAAAAATACCAATAAAAAAGTTCTTCCTCGTGTCATGTTTTTATTTATTTTTTTATTTTTTATTCTTCCTTTTTTTTCTCGAAAAGAAGTTAAAAAAGGGTTTGTGAAGGTTTGAAAAATATTGCAGAATTTTTACCTGTTCGTTCAACGATCTGTAATAGCTAGGCTGCATACCTTTTTCACAACGGCGCCGAATTCAGTGGCGTAGGAAATTTATGGAGAAATGTCAAGGATATTTATACCTCTTTCTTCTTCCTTCTCCTCTTCCTTTCTGTTTTTTTATTTTTTATTTTTTTCGTCGAGTATCGGTTTCTCGCTT